GGCGCGTTCGATACCACAGCGTAGGACATGTGTACCACGCACATATGCCTTCAATAGGATCATCGGGATCGACTTGTTTTATGTCACGTATCGTCAACAGATCTACACGTTTCTCAACGCTGTGTGTCTAGGAACGTCACTGCAGTGGACTGGTCTCGTGGGTGTCGGTCGTTGCCCGCAACCTGGGCTGGTTTGGCAGGTCTTTGCAAATGGATGGTTGCGCCACTATGGACCTCCAGAGGTGCTAATCTCTGACGGCGGTGCTGAGTTCGAGGCTGAGTTTGACCGCTTCGCGGAGCAGGCAGGCTCTTTTCATCATGTAACGGATCCTGAGAGCCCCTGGCAGTGGCACGACGGACCGCGCAGGTCAGTGGCCCAAGGAACGTCTTCAGCGCATCGTCGAAGAAGTGCTGCTGGACAGCCCGAGTGACCTGGAACAGGCCGCCTGTGAGCTCACTGCCTGGCGCAATCGGTTTCTCAACAGAGGCGGCTACTCTCCGTTGCAGCTAGTATTCGGCCAGAATCCCAGATTACCTCACGAGCTATTGTCAGAGGACCCGCTAGACCACATCGGATTGCATGACCTTTCCGAGGCAAGCGGAGACATGGACAGCGCTGCAGCCTCCTTTCGTCATCAACACGCCATTCGCACGAGGGCCAGGGAACTGGCCATGGAAGGAGACGCTCGCAGCAAGCTCAGTCTCGCTCTTCGACCCGAATGGCATCGTGACCGTACCTACCAGCCAGGAGATTGGGTGTACGTTTGGCGCAGGGCTCCCTCATCCGGGCTTCAGCGAGATCGACGGGTAGGGCCTGGGTCCGTTATCTACCACCACAATACCACAGTATGGGTTGGGACGAGGAGTGAACTCTGGAAATGCAGCCGTGAGCAAGTACGACCTGCTACGCAGTCGGAGTCTCTGGGGGCTGAATTGGTGCAGTCTTCGGCGTATCGCTCGGTGCTCTCCAAGGGGTTCGACAAGGGGATCACGGGTAGTGCAGTAGACGTGTCTCAAGAAGGCCCTCCTCCTCCTGGAGCTCTTGGGGAACCTCTAGCGGACACTCAGGGAGGTCTTCAGTCGGGTCCCGAAGCTGCTGCTGGCGCTCCAGAGGCATCCAGAGGCTCCCCAGAAGCTTCGGGGTCAGCGTCTCCGTCCAACCCTCGGATGGGGCCCCGGGAACCCTCGGCCGAATCCCGTCCTCGAGAGGACTCTGACACTGCAGAATTCACCAGGAGCGTCATACCCAGGACATCCTCACCTGCCTCTTCCGTGGCCGACCCTGGCTCAGCTGCTGCAGCCGGTCTGCCAGCAGCAGGACCTCAGCCAGCTGCTGTTCGACCCTCGTGTGGACGACGTCTCGTCTGGGCTCCTGGACCCGCGTCCTACCGGACTCGGCCGCCGTGACAGCGCCTGCGACATCGACCCCAGCCAGCAGCGCAGGAGCTGACTGGTCTCGCCAGGGCTCTGAACCAGCAGCCGAGCCAGCACCTCCAGGCAATTCGGACGGATCTTCTCGCAGGGCCTCAGAGATCTCTCCAGCCCCCTCCGACGCCGGCAGCGTGGACTCAGAGGCGAAGCGTCTCAGGCTGGAGCGAGACGGCTGGGCTCCAGGCTCGGCGAGTCAAACTCAGAGCGTGCCCATGTCGGTAGAGCCAGTCATTCAACCCGAAGATCTCAGCTCTGGTTCGCGCGGGCCTCTGTCTTCTGAGCAGTTCCGCAGTGCAGCCCTACCCACTCCAGTCGAGCTCTTACCCCACGCCTCGGGGCAGGCTCGACAACACATCGAGGAGTGGGACCGCTGGGCGCAGACCAGGAGTCAGGGTGTGACGGCCGACGACACGCCGACAGTGAACGACGAGGAGTTGCTGAGTGCCTACTGCGAGACCTTCGAGACCTGGTTCCAGGAGCTGAGTTGGAGCGGCAGTGCTCAAGAGTACGCCAACGGTGCCGAAAATCTCGTGTTTGCTGGCTCAGACGACTGCGTTGGCAGCTGGAATCTACTGTCCTCCAAGGGCGGCGAGATCAAGCTGGGTCAGCTGAATCCCGAGGAGCGAGAACAGTTCAGGGCCTCCGACGGTGCTGAGTGGGAGGTGTTGAACCGACCAGGAGTGCTCAGGGTATTGTCTCTCGCCGAGTCCCAGCACGTGATCAGGACCAAGCCGGACCGCGCCCTCTCCTCGAGAATGGTCCGACGATGGAAGAATCAGGAAGGTACGTTCAGTGCCAAGAAGGCCAAGAGCAGATGGTGCGTCCACGGCTTCCGAGACCCAGACACCGAGCAGCTGATCACCTATTCCCCTACGCTTCAGTCTGAGTCGATGATGATCTTCGCAGCAGTTCTGTCGTCCTGCGATATGGACCAGGCCATCGTCGACTGCAAGAAGGCCTTCAGTCAGTCTCGTCCACTGCGCCGCTCAGGGGGCCCCATCTACGTGGCACCCTGCGAGGGACTTGCTGGAATACATGTCCCAGAGGGCTGCTTGATCGAGCTCAAGGTTGCAGTGTACGGCTTGGGCGACGCCCCCTGGGAGTGGCACGTGACCATCACCACATACCTGTCCGAGCTAGGCTTCCGCAAGCTGCTCCTGGAGCCCTGCTACTGGACCAAGCGCGACAAGGGACAGCTGGTGGCACAGGTATTGATCGAAGTCGACGACCTGTGGATTGGCTCCACTCGCAGCTTCACCAAGTGGTTGCACGATAGCCTCCAGAGTCGACTTACCTTCGGCAAGTGGCGAGGTGACGAGGCTGAGTTCGCGGGCAGGCGAGTCCGCAAAGAGCGTCACCGCATTCGCATCGACCAGGAGAAGTACATCCTAGAGGAGCTCAAGGCTGTCCCACTTGACCGTGGACGAAGGTCTCAGCGTCAGAGCCCTCTGACACCGGCCGAGTTCGCTTCTTCGCTCGGGAGTCTACCGACTGAACTGGGTGGCCAAGGAGCCCCGACCGGAGATTTCAGGCACCGCTTCGATTCTGGCGAGCAACCTGAACAATGCAACTATCGAGGACGTACTGCTACATAACAAGGCAGTGCAGCTCATGAGGGACACGGCAGCCCTGCATATTACAGCTTGGAGGCATGATCTACGCCACGTGGTGGCCATGACTGCCAGCGATGCCGCTGGGATCGGAGCAGAGGGTCCGGTCCAGAACGCATGGCTCGCTGGCATCGCAGATCCCCAATTAGCTACAGGGGCGTCCACTCGTGTTTCAGTATTGTCCTGGAGGTCTGCACGGATGAAGCGTGTAGCCAACTCCTCTCTTGCAGGAGAAGCACACTCACTGTGTCAAGCAGTTGCCGAGGCCGAGTGGATACAATTGACCATTCGCAACGCCATGTTCGGTGAGGAACCATCGAGCGAATGGCGTCAGAGCGTGGGCCCTTTTGTTTCTGTCCTGCGCAGCTCCTGTGAGCTGCAGAATCCGTTTCCCGGAGCGCATGCTTTGGATGCCAAATCGATTTTCGATGCTCTTTCTAAGAACTGCGCCGGCCGCAAGGAGGACCGACGCACCTCGGTGGACCTAGCCATCGTCAGGGATTCTTTCACGGCTCGCAGCTCCTGTGCCAAGTGGGTGCCCCACCATTTGAATCCCACAGACATCATGACGAAGGCAGATGTGGCCAAGGGATCTGAGGCACTCGCTCACCTGCTGAGGACTGGCACGATGGTCCTCAGTGACGTTGAGGAGGAGCGCAGTGCTCTCGCTGCTGAGGGTGTCAAACAGCAACGCAGCAAGGAGGCCAGCAAGCGCTACCTTGCTGCGAGAGACGCCCGACTCAAGCTACATGGACAATCAGGTCGACAATAATTTCGGGGAGCTGTTGGCACACGCTCCAGCTCATGCTCCTTACCTACCTTCCATCCATGCCCTTTCTACCTGCCTGTGTGCTCGTCTGTTTCTCTCATGTCTGTCTTGTTGTGCGTGCTATCACTGCAACCGTGATGGCTCAAGTCATACTGTTTGCGCGGGAAAAGCGTACAGTGCAGAGCTTCGCGATTGTCCGCCCGACCCCCGCGTGCCAACACATTGTTTGAGGATGTCTCGAGCGAAACGCTTACGTTAGAACAGATGTATTACAAAACCAGTGGTTTTCAACGATTTCCTTTTGGGGGCCCCTGGGGGGTCTTTCAAGAGCGTACAACAGCTACTGGAATATGTCATACTTTGGGGGTGGCTCAGGCGAGAGTGCCATGTCTGAAGATGCGAAGGCTTCGCCCGCGATTTTAAAATTTTTATGTTATGAAGACGACTCGAGCGAGAGCTTCATGTTTAACATGCGGGGTTTGAAGCAGTTCGTCATCATCTCATTGTTTCTGGGGTGTCTCAGGCGAGAGCCTAAATGTGAAAGATACGAAATGTTCAACCTCGCCATGTTCTGAGGATGTCTCAAGCGAAACGTTCAGGCTTGGCACAAGACGTTTTCAGCGAAAGCCTCCAACATCTCGGTATTGTGAGGATGCCTCAGGCGAAACACTTATTGATCACATCCGTCACGAGAGTCCGGAGGAGCAACCCCGCCATAATTCTTCCCCGTGGCCCCTCCAGTTGGTAAATGATTTCGAAGGCCTTACGGCCGGTGCCGCCGACCCTGGAGACGACGAAGATGAACCGGAGGGGGGGGGGGGGGGGTGCAAGGGGAGGAGGAGGAGTGGCAGGAGGAGGAGGAGGAAGGGGTGCCGGAGATGGATGAGGGAGGAGGAGGGGGGGAAGGATGAGGAGGAGGAGCAGGGGGGGGGTCCGTAGCCATTTTGGCTCAAGTGGCCTGGCCCGCCGCGCGCGCGTGAGACCCTGGAGAGTTGCCCCAGGACAAGGGTCTCCGCATTTCTCCGCCACACACCTCACTCCGCGTACTGCCCACCAGGATTCAGCCCTGGACCCTTCTGCTCCCCACATTTCGTTGAGGGTGCCAGCTCCGCTGGCGAACGATGAGTGCGGCAGATTCTCGTGATGCGAACACACCGCCTGAGCAGAAGATCGCCCGCCTGGAGGGCAAAGGTGCAAGTGGAAAAGGTCGAGATGGAGCAGTCCTCTTCGGCAGCATCCCCCTCTCGTCATCGCAGGTGCAGATCCTCGAAGGCGACCCCATCCTCGACGGGCTGGACCAGCTCGCTTCGCAGGAGCACGCTACGCCTGCTGCTACTGCCGATGGTGACGCACCTGGTGCTCCACCTGACGTTCAGCTTCTCCAGCAGGACCTCAAGAAGACCAAGTCGGTGCTCCTCGGAGGAATGGCCTCGATCAACCGAGCCATGGCCGCCCTGCAGGAGTCCATCACCAACAGCTTCGACTCCCTCTCGGAGTCCGTGGAGACACGCCTGGCGAGGCAGGAGGCGTCCACTGCGACACTCCACAAACGCGTCGACCTCATGTCCAAGGAGATCGCCGAGCTCAAGGAGGCGCTCGGCATCATGCAGAAGACGGATACGGTGGCACCTGCAGTCGGCAGCTCGTTCGAGCGGAAGACCGACCCGTGCATTTTGGTGGTCCGCGCATCCGCGCTTGTCACCAAGCTGGCAGCGACCGCTGCCATCACCCCGCTCATGGAGCTCAACAACTTCGAGGATGGCTCATGGAAGCTGGAGGGGGACGAGGCCGCCAAGCGCTTCGTGGTCCGTGTCCGTGGCGCCCCTGGCTGGGCTTCGCGGCGCATTGGCCAAGTTCTCGGCAGCATGCGCAACGGCGACGGCTCCTTCAAGCGATATCGTGCTGCTACGGCCACCGGGGAGAATGCCGAGCTGTACTTCTCAGAGGACAAGAACTTGTTCCAGGTCCGCCGCGAGCTCATCACGAAGCAGATTCGGAAGTGCATGTCGGAATGCAAGCCGACGATCAAGTTCTTCGCCGACAAGAGCGCTGGCATCGTCAGCGCGAGCTGGAAGCCCCTGCTGCGCGTCACCCCCAGGTCGGAGGCTGCGCCGCTGGTGGAGTTCGAGGAGGCCAACCTCAATGCCATCGACCTCTCGCGCGGCGAGCTCGAGCCCAGGATCGCCCGCATTTTGCAGGCTGGTCAGGGCGCTGGCGGCCCTGCTGCCGCGCCATCGTGGGGTCTTTAGCAGCTGGTTCGAGCTCTCAGGGGGCAAAGTTTCACCAGAGCTGGCATTCGGCACGTGGAATGCGAGAGCTCTTTTCCATCACGTGGCCTCAGTGCGGACCAAGAAACTGAGCTACCTGCAGGCAATGCTTCGAGGGTTTCGGGTTATTGCCGTCCAGGAAACGCATGGTAGCAGTTTTGACGTTTCTGACTTCTTGCACTTCTCGGGGACCAAGTACACGTCGTTCTCCTCGTTCTTCCCCCCCAAGCCCGACGGGAACCCCAGCGCCAGTGGTGGGGTCGTCACGCTCTTCCCGAAGATGTCGTCTCTCCCTGGGATCGGGTCTTCTGCGACTCGGCAGGTGCTGGTTCGTGGTCGCGCGCTTCACACCAAGCTTAACCTAGGCACGGTCCCGAACAGCCTTGACGACACCCCCCTCATCATCTCTCACTACAACATACATAATCATGGGCTCTCACAGACTCAGATTGGGAACCTCATTGGGCATATTTCTCAGGAGCTCCTCAAGGCTGTCCAGGACCCCGAGCACTACCTCGTCGTGTGCTCAGGTGATTTCAACATCTCTCGCGGGCCGCCGCTGCCGAGCGTCCCGTCCGCGAGCTGCGTGGCGGACCCGTCGCTGCCCGAGTGGGGCCGCCTTCAGCGCTCGCCGTGGCAGCAGGTCTTTCGGCAGATGGTAGAGCTAGATCCCGAGGAGCACACGCACTACAACGGAGCTAGGGAGCACACATCAGCGATAGACCGCATCTTCATTTCCTGGCCAGGCTGGATCCTCACATCTATCCACGCCGTCGCGGAGGTTCGAGAGCTCCCCGAGACCCTCGAGCAGAAGAAAATCTCCGACCACTCCCCTGTGCTGGCCGTTCTCCGATCCCGCCCACCTCCTCCGTTCGACGCCCGCCCGATTCCCAAAGGCCTCTTTCAGAGCCCTCACTTTGCCCGATATGTGGAGAAAACGTGGCCCGCCATCAACACCTCCGAACTGTCCCCACCACTGAAGATGACGTTGTACAAGCGTGTGCTCCGTGAGGGTGCTAGGTATGCCAGGGACGCGATCCTGACCTCCGACCCCACCTCCTCCCAGGCCAAGCTCATTCTACTACGGAGTATCTCTAGAGTCATATGGCGACAAGATCATAGATTAGCCGAACGTCTACAGCGTTACCCGCTAGCCCAGGACTTCCTCGCCTCCTCCCCGCAGACGGGCCGCCTGTTCCTCAGGGACCCCGCGGCCTTTGCACGCCGGCTCGACGAGCTGCAATTCGAGGACGCCGAGGAGCAGTTGCAGTCGCTCCGACGCGAGATGGGAGCGGCAGAGCAGGCCGAGGCTCCCTTTGCTGCACGTGCCAAGCTCCGCAAGCGAGCTCGGCGTCTCGCCCACCGTGCCAGAGTGTGGGCGCCATTCGACAGGATGATGCCGCTCGTCGGGGTTAGGGCGGAAAATGGTGAGGTCGTCACGTCCAGAGAGCACATGAATGATGAGATCCGCGCACACTGGGGTCCCATCTTCCAGTCCAAGACCATAGACTCCAGGGCCGCAGAGGTTTACCTTGAGAAATACTGCCCCAAGATCGACGTCTCGAGCATTGCCCCCCCCACCCTGAAGCAGGTCAACTCGTTCATCAATCGTCTCGCTCATTCTGGTCCTGGCCCTGATGGGCTACCGTATGGCGCTTACAAGTACTCCTCGTTCTCGGCCCCGATCCTCCTCGAGGCGATGTGGTGGCAACTCAACGGGTTCTCTATGGGCTCCTCCTGGAACAACATGCTGGGCATCTTCATCCCCAAAGGATCTGAGGATTCTGATTCCCCTCACGGGTGCACCAGGGCCCCCGCTAACCTTCGCCCCCTGGGCCTCAAGAACACTGACTGCAAGATCGTCACGGGTGTGGTCACTAAATGCCTCTCCAGAGAGCTCCCGAGGTCCACGCACGCATCCCAGAGAGGGTTCGTCCCGACCCGCAACTTTGCGAACAATATTGTGGAGCTCGACGTTCACTCACGAGTGTTCTCTATGCAAGATAATGTGTCTGTAGCCATGCCATCTCTGGTCAGTTACGATTTTTCTCAGGCCTTCCCAAGTCTGGCGCATCAATGGCTGTTCTTGGTGTTGAAGCACGCTGGCATGCCGCCCGCGCTGCTGCAATTCTTCCGCCTGCTGTACACCCACGTCCTTTGCATCTGCGGCGACATGTACATGACGTCGCTCATGTTGATCATCGGCAGCGGGATCGTGCAGGGCTGCCCTGGCTCGGGCTTCCTGTTCTCGCTGGCGGCGGACCCCTTCCTCAGGGACTTCGCGGCGTCCGTGGAGGACCGTGGCCTCGGCGTGGTGCGTGCATGCGCTGATGACGTGGGCGCGGCGCTGAAGCAGATCAGGGCGCTGAAGACGATGAGGCGCGTATATCGTGCTGCTGAGCGTGTGGCCGCGCTTGTGCTGAAAGTGGCCAAATGTCACATCGTCCCGTTGGCAGCGGAGTTCTCGCCCGAGTTGGCCGACCGTTATCGAGCCTGGCTGCGGGAGCACCTACCTGAGTGGCAGGACTTCGCCATCACCCCAGTGCTGAAGTATCTCGGGCTCTGGCTCGGACCCCAGGCGAAGTTAGACTGCTGGATCGAGCCGCTGAAGAAGTGGCGGACGCGCGGGCACCTCCTGTCGATCAGCGCATCCCCACACCGCATCATGTCCTTCAACTACCACTCCCGTGCAGTATCTGTTCTGAGTTATGTAGCGCAATTCATGCCATTGCCAGCCACCGTACCTGCCCAGGAAGCCGCTCTCCTGGCCCGTCTCTGGCACACGGCACACTGTGCCCTTCCCCGGGGAGGTTGGTTTAACCTTGGCCGCTGGAACGGCCCTACGTTCCCGAGCCTGGTGATTTCCACGTCGGCGGCCCTCATCCGTTCGAGTCTGGTCACGATCGAATCCTGGCGCACTCTGATGCCGTTGCTTCGTAGATCCGCGGACGATCGCCTGCCCTACAGACGTGTTCTTGGCGGCGAGCTGTCCCCCTCTTTTTGGTCCCAGCCATCCTTCGCGGAGTTCTTGGAGTCGGCCTCGCTGGCCTTCCCAAGACCCATTGGGCATGACCTTGTGACCTCGTCCCCTGCCTCGCGTGATCTCCTGTCCGCCTCTGCTGCTGCTGCGATCGCTTTGCTTCCCCCGCTCCTTCCCCCGCCTCCTCCTCCCCCGTCGCAAGGTCAATCAGCCAACGCCCGTGGGAATGGAAGTAAGAGAGTGAGAATTCAGGGTGCCCTGGCCAGGGCTATGCTCGAGGTGCGATTCCCCGACCCGCTTGTCGATGTCTTTGTTGCTCGCCTCTCCTCGTGGCTTCCCCGCTCTGAGGCCGATATCCGAGCATGGCCCTGGCCGCAGGTGCGCACCACTCTGAATCGTGCTCCACCTGCGATCGCAGGCGCAGTACTTAAGCTGCTGATCGGCGGCTGGACCACAGACGAGCGCTTCCAGATCCGTTGCTCGTGTATCCTTGGTTGTGTGCCGAACGGCCTCGACCGTTGCGGCGACTGCATCCGCCACTACTGGTCCTGCCCCCGCTTTCTGTCCATTCTCGCTCTCGTGCTCCAGGTCCCCTCTCTCCCTGGCTGCCCCGTCCAGCGTCTTGGTCTCTCGTGCCCGTCTCCCGAGTCCATCGCCACCCCCGCTGCCGCCACTTTTCTCTATAATTTTTGAATGCCGAGCGTGCATCGCTCGAGACGCTCTCTTCCCACAGAGAGCGCGCGCTGGCTGCCACTGTGCGGTTCCAGCTCCGACGGCGGTGATCGGAGTCAAGGACCGCGGCCGCCCCTCTGGGCACGTGCGAGGAGCAGGGGGGGGGGAGGAGGACGCAGAGGATAACAGAAGGAGAAGGAGGGGGAGCAGGGGGGGGGGGGCAGGAGGAGGAGGAGGAGGAGGAGGAGGCGCTGTGGTTTGCTTGGCTCTTTGGGGAACATATTTGCATGGTTTCGGGGGGGTCGCTGGGGAAGCGTATCTGGGCGGCGTTTCCCCTGAGACCCACCCCTGGAACTCCCTGGGACTCTTCTTTTCGTGGGGAAAGAAGTGCAGGGAAGGGGCTTCCAATCGACTGCACTAACGACGTTGTTCAATTTCGCTGTAGATCGCGCGGTTGAGACGACAGGCCCAGGAAAGGGAACGGGCCACGACCGAGACGGCGAGCAAACGATTGCGACGACGACGGAGACGACGAGAAGGAGGAGGAGGAGGATGAGAATGAGGAGGATGAGGAGCAGGACGGCGACGACGAGACGGAGCAGGAAAAGGAGGAGGTCGAGGAGGAGGAGGAGGAGGAGGACGACAACGACATGGCATTCGGGAAGTCTGTGGTGTTTGTCGCAGGGCTACTTGGAGGACTCTTGAAGGCTTCGGCGGGGGCCTCTTGGAAGTCCATAGTTGAGATCTCGTTGTGGGTTCTTGGAGCCCTCTTCGGGTTTCCTGGGGGCCTCTTCGGGGCATGTTTAGGCAGGAGGAGGAGGGGGAGGAAGAGGAGGAGGAGGAGGAGGAGCAGCAGGAGGTAGAGGGGAACGAGGAGGAGGAAGGGGATGATGAGGAGGAGGTGGAGGAGGAGGGAGGACGAGGAGAAGGAGGAGGAGGAGGAGCAGGGCGCTTGGGGTCATGTTCGATCTGTCTCCAGGCGTTTTTGGGCTCCCTCAGGCTGGTATGATGGTCTTGTCGAACCGTCTTTGGGCTTTCAGACGCCCGACGAGGCGTGAACGCGAAAATCCTCCGAAACCCCTCAGAGAATACATGCTTGTTACCTCGTGATCCAATATTGGCGCCTTCTGGAGGTCGTTGAGAGCGTCATGAGGCCATCCTGAGTTCGTCAGGCCTCTCCGAGTGTCTCCGACGTGTGGAATCCCTCCTCGAGCCGGCTGGGAAAGTATCGTGGGCATCCTAGAGGCGACGGAGGGTGGATTCGGCGATTCCGAGGTGCCCCAGAGGAGCGCGAATGATCCCGAACACCCCACCTTCGCGCCCACCCCCCGAAGGCCCCGAGGAGGGGAGGAGCCTCTTGGGGCCTTGGGGGGGGTGTTCTTGGAGAGTTCCTTGGACGTCTAGGAGGCTTCTTGGATCGTCTTGGGGTCATCTTGGCCGTGTTGGGCCGATCTTTGAGCGACACGGGGCTCTTGTGGGCAATCTTGGGAGCCATCTTCGGCATTCTGGGTTGTTGTTGGGGTTGTTCGATATGTCGGGGCCGCTCGAGGGAAAACGAACCTGGGTGGCGAACTCTAAAGCGAGCTGAGGCACGTAATGAGTGGAAGCGAGCGTGCGCCCGCGGCCGCGTCGGCTCAAGCGGCCGGCCGCCCAAATTTGACTGTGCCTCACTGCGAGGCAGACAATCGCTATCGAGACCAAAAGGATCTTCCTATTGCTTGAGATGGCATTTCCTCTCATACAGAAACTATCGCTACTACGAGACAACAGAGCTGGAGCTTGGCTTCGCCTGAGGCGAAGCTGTTGGCTGGGCCTTCCAGCCCCCTTCAAACTTGGTAGCGGAGCTGGCCTATGGTGGTCAGCTCTAGCTCTACTCCTCACCATCCACGGCATTATCTGGTGGACTACAGATACGGTGGAACATCAGGGTGCAGTTGGATTGCGCGGAGGAGTGTACACAGTTACGCAGTACCGCAAGGAAACTTGCAGCGATACCTCTGTCCAAACGGAGGTCTCTCACTCACATGTCACATCCCTGCGCTATTACACTCCTGAAGTCCACCCACCCACTTCACTTGGAAATTTCTTCGAATACATAATGCACGGAAACATGCGATACGATATACTGCCGCCTCTGACCCCACGCAGACTTACGACGACAAAACAGAAGTCCCCACGGACTACATCCGACTACGACCTACGAGGCCATTGGATTGGGGTTACTATATTGGGGCTCAGATGGGTCGCTATTGGGTGTGCGGTAGGGCATATGCGGGGCGGAGACGACACTAGAACGACTGGCCCCCATTGGGACCCTGCCGGTCAAGCACCATTTCGTGCGTTCGTCCGCGAAGTACATGCCTGGATCAATGTGACCACAGGCAACATGACGCCCTCCCAGCAAGCCGCCGCATTGCAGCGAGGTTTGGCAGGTCTCGCACGGACTATAGCCATGAGAGCCCCCCCAGCAGTTATTCATTTTGGCGTCAATATAGCCGGTCGCTACACCGACGGCGTCACCTACATTAGGCTCCTCTTAAGTACGAAGTTCGAGTACCTAGAAGAGGAACGCCAACTTAACTCTGGCATGGCTCTCATTGACTTTCGAGTCCATGCGGGCGAACGTATCGACCAGACGTTACCACGGTTCGAAATAGCCCGCTACGAAGCTGAAGCCGCCAGCTTCAATATCCCCAACTTCCAAATCATAACAGTAATCCGATTCAGAGTTCTTGGGGTAGGGACATCGCGCGCACAACAACTCCTGCAGCCTCTGAACCACCACATGCCGAGGGACCAACCACAATTTGACGCTCTACTTGAACGTATGAGGTCATATGCTCACATAGCTGAGAGGACCCCAGGCAAGGTTGGCGGCATCTTTAGCCACGGTCACCGAACCGAGACCTTCTACGCAGAGGCCAACGCAGGGCAACCTGCCAACAACGTCTGGAACGATGATCCACAGCCAACTGAGACCACTACACTGTTGGCTCAGAATGGTGGAACGGCTTCGGGGTCGCAAGGCCCCTGGGCCAGATCTGGGGGACCGCCCAACGCGGCTTCCCTTATACAAGCTATGACCCGAATGGGCTCAGCGGGGCAACCCGCCGAGTCCGACTTCGACTCCGGCACCGATGCGGATGCGTCTTCCCGTAATGAAGCTACCGCCTTGGATTACTCTGATATGCCTACATACCTTACTGAAGAGCAGCAAGCTCAATGGTTGTTTTTGGGCCATCAAGAACACAAGCGTCGTTGGCGGAGGTTCAAGAAGAAACCAGTCCGAAGGGTAAGACGTATTGTACGACGGTCACTTAAAGGAAAAGGCAAGGGTCGAAGCAAAGGCAAAGGTAAGCGTCGGCGATCACACGGTAGAAGCATACTAGCATTCCCAGCGTCTCTTAGCGAACCTCAGCATGAGGAAATGTTGTTAGGTACCGGCAGAAACCGCAGGCATACATCCGGGAAAGGTAAAGGACGACGAGGAAATCCAAAGGATGCCAACGGTAAAACCATGGAGTGCGACATGTGTCACAGCACACAACATTTCCGACGTGAATGCCCCCGAGGCGATGGACGAGGCAGGGGTCCGTCAATACATCTGGCTCAAACAGACTCCGACATACAGTATGTTGAGTGGGAGTCGCTTTTAGCCGACCCTGCCGACGGCCCAGCCACAATTGTTCATTTCATGGCTGCCAGGTATCTAAGTGCCAGGATGCCCCTCGAGAATTACGCCGATGAGCTGTTCGAGAAGGTGTTCGCTGGCCATAGCGATATCGACTTGGCAGAATGGCTGGGTGCACTCATCGCGGGGCAACCTGCAGATATTGAGTTCGTCGAGAACTTCCACATGCCCGTCGAAGGCGATTCTGGCATGGCGGGGGCACCCGCGGACTCAGATTCTACCATTCCTGCAACAGATGAGGAAATACATGCACTGCTTTTATCCTCGGGCGGTTGGAAATCTGATAAACACGGAATTAATCGATGATGATCCACTGCGGGGAAACCCGCGCGACGTTGGTGATC